CAAATCAGTGCAACCACTTTCATTTTTTGAAGCTGCTTTGCACTCATTTCACCTCACAGCAGAAGTTAAGAAACTGCCAGTTTTCCCAATAATTCCAGCAAATCAGTTGTATAAAGAAGCGATGTGGTGAAAGGATCAATCGAATGGAGAAATGTTTTACTGCCTTCATATTATTGAAATTGACAGAAGAATAGGTCATTGGCCGAGGAGGCCTCTAGTCTTTAAAATAACCTCTGATTAGATATATCAGGTTAGAACAACATTTTTAAATCAATTATTGAAGACATGGATTGTATCACACATGAGGTAATGATGCATGAGAACACGTAATATTACCTGCCACATTTTTAACTTTAATTTATGCTTTTCATTGTCAGTTGATTTAGTTAAAGGCCTGCATCTCTAATAGTGTCATGAGTGATTAATTTTTTCTTCATGCCTTTAAAGAGATGCAAACTCTTTGCTTTGGCTACAGTAGGCATAACTATTATTGGGCTTTACCTTAAAGGAATGTATTAAAATATCTGCAAAAGGAGATGGCATTTAAGTTCTTTTAGGTTTCTCTTCATGCATCCTTTAATTCAATTAAATATTTTTTGGCAATAAATCAATGTTCTTTAAACTCAGGTTTGAAGTTTACAGTTTCAATTTACCCCATTCGGAGTCTTAGGGTGGCTCAGAGCGTTGTTACTAATCTTTCCTCCAGTTGTTTATAGCTTTTCATCCTTTCCCTGCTGCTCACCTGTTTTCTTTTGATTGGCTTTAAGAGGTAGTCAGAAGATGAAGACTCTGCAGACTTGATTGCGTAGTTCATCCTTGCTCTTAAATAACTCTTTCAGACTTTACTTCACAGTTGGATGTTTGCAACAAACATGGCTGTCAGACAGCAGCGTAGCTCCAACAACAAGAGGTCAGACATCAGGATTCCCTCTGCAGGAGGCTGATTTTCACCACTTTTTTTTTTTGTCTGGTTGAAATGTTTGGAGAAGCTTAATTGAACTGAAAGATCGGGAGATTCTACTAACAGCACAAATGTACCTGTCATCTTGTGACATAAATTCAAACTGGGAAATTAATTTTAAATTTAGATCAAAAGGATCAGTTTAACAAAATGATCAGCGTACAGATTAATGTAATAATAACTCACCTTCATGTTTTTCAATTAATAAGATTTTAGTTTTATTTCTAAGACTTGTTGAACAACTTTCACAAAATGAAATTTACAAGTAATATGTGAAAAAACAAATCAATCTCTAGTCAGCAATAAACAAAATTCATAAAGGCTGCTGAAAAACAAGCCTAATGAAAGTGACACACACTGATATAGCAACAGAAACTCTAACTTGATATTTAATGTCCTATGCGAGCAAATAGTTTTTATCCTATTCCTGTTTTGTTTGAGTGGATATCAGTATATTTTCTACCCTCCTAGATATTCGTGTTTGAGGAAAAAATATATATATTAAATGGTGGTATAATTAACATTATTAACAGTTAGAAGAATCTTGTATTTTTGATTGACGCAGTTTAAACATGACAAACTAGGAACCAATTTCCGCTTTTTCGGACACCACCAACCAATTTCTCTGTCCATCTGTGGTATAATTGACTTGTTTTGGCTAATTTTTGAAATCATCCTGTCAGTGGGAAAAAAAAAATCATACTTTCTCTCATTTGAGTTTAGCTGAAGCTAAATGGGGTAACCTGATTATCCACCAACATGTTGATAATCAATGTATGCTGTTTTAACAAGAAATCGACATGTTTGAGAACTAAGAGTAATCTTTTATAAATATGTTTTTAAAATTTTGTCATTTATTTATTAAGTCATTTTTTATATTTTTTGACCTTTCTACCGTTTTAGGCTTTTCTGTTTTACTTTAGAAGACGCTGCAAAAATGATGTAGATATAAGTAAACATTTCTTGAATTAAGTGTATTTGCTCTTAATTTGAGTACGGTAGGTAAATATGATGGTTTTTTAACTGAATTAGTATTTTTACTCTTGAAATAAGATAATTAAATAATATGCACTTATACAATGCAACTGTTTTTTCTTATTTTGAATGTAAATTGTCTGGTTCCATTAGCAAAGTGTCTCACGTACCTCTTCAATTCAGATTTAGATTAAAATTGGTTTTGCAGAGTGTGATACAAACTTTTTAAAATCATTTTAGTGACATATCAATCTTTATTGCGAATATATCCGTTAACTTCTGGATTTTGCTGTCATTGTTTTTAAAGAATATCTCTTTCTGTTTACACAATAATATATCTGCAGACACATAGAAAAGGGGATGGACTGAAATAGCAAGCGAGGCATCACTTTTGTTGTCTCTGCAATCTCCAGACATACCGCAGCTTCCCGTTTGGCCGAGTCACCTTCAGACTTTGTGCCTGCCTCTTCTCCCATTGCTTCACTTAACCGTATTACCCGAGCACAGAATTAATTATAGCTGGAAGACCTGCCCAAGACTTTCTCCGCTAATGGACTCTTCCATTCCATCATCTTTATTAGACTCAGCCTATATCTCTTGTTCCCGTTGTAAAACTCCAAGCCTTGGATGCACCGGGTTGCGCTGCGGTAAATCATATTTCTCTGCTAGAGGTCTTGGCATTCAGTGACAGAGTCTGATGGGTTGTGGCTTTGCATTGAAATTTGCCAAAGTGCTCTGGCTAATTGAATTTAGTTTGATTGCTAGATATCTGGCTGCCATTGTGACGGTCAAAACTATTTATAGTATCAGGGAGAAGTCACATGGTTTAAGACGGTACTGACCAGAAGATGTTATGCTTAAAGGCAGTGATCAAGGGAAAGTGGGAAGGAGACTGCATTTCTTTTTCCATCTGTAGGGTAGAAACCAGTTAAAATAATGGTAATAAAACACAAACACAATATTCTAATAGCATAATTTTTGCAGTTTAGTTAGACTTTACATGCTGTGTGTTATTAAAACTAAAAAATATATAAATTTTGAGTTGGCATGCCAGTGAGATACGCCTCTGACCTTCTGTCTGGTCCAGGACAAATGAGAGACTTTCTTTTTCAGAATCATTTGCACATGAATAAAACAACCTTTAGGAGCTGCTTATTTAGACCTGCTGATTGTTATTATTTATGAAATCGTTTTAATGTTTTCTTTGTTCTTTTCAAATGCAGAGCTTATCTACCTCCTTCTACAAATGTCATTTAAGAGCACATTTGGCTCACGCATAAACCAAACGCATAATTTTATTAAAGATTTTTTGTTGAAATGCAAAAATAGCAGGAGCCAGTGAAATGTCATTTTCTTGTACAGTAAATAGAAATCCTTCCAGCTCTATGGAGTTTGTGGTTATCCTAATGTTGAGATTTCTAAGTGATAGTTTTAATAATAATAATTAAAAAAAAGTTGTGTCAAGAAACCTGGCTCATTTAAGGCAAGGCAAGTTTATTTGTATAACACGATTCAGTACATGGGCAATTCAAAATGCTTTAAGTGAATTAGATAATAAAATAGAATAAAAATAAAGGCAAACACATTTGTAAAACAAATAAATCAATTGGACTACAAAAAAGCAGAACAAAAGCAAGTAAAGAAAAAACATAAGGAAAGTAAAACGGTTAAATGACAACATTAAACTAATAACACCTTAGTTAGCAGTTTTACTTCAACAGTCAATGTTAGCTCTAAACAAATGGGTATTTAACTTTGAATTAAAGGAACTCAGGCTTTCAGCTCTTTTGCAGCCTTCTGGAAGTTTGTTCCAGATCAGTGGAGCATAGGAACTAAATGCTGCTTCTCCATGTTTGGTTCTAGTTCTGGGTGAACAGATTAGCCTGGAACTAGAAGACCTGAGTGGTCTGGGATTTGTTATGTTGGAACATTTAGTCTACAGTAAACTAAAACTCATGGTTTTTTCTCTCTCTTTTGTGTGGAATCCCTTTTGTTTGAACCATTAGCACATATAAAAGATTTCTGAGATATAATGAAGTAGATTTGCTTGTTTCAGCTTCCTAAGCAATGAGCTCTAACTAAATTTGCCTTCTTTCAGGAACACAGCAGTACAGTAAATACACCGGTTACTCTCAGACCTACAAGTGGGCCGGCTCTCACCAAGACACAACTCCAAGGTATCTGTTATATCTGGATTCTGTAATACTCAGTTTCTTATATATTGTAGATCATCCTTCATGTTGTTATAAGTGCATTAACATGGACATTTATAGGGAGTTAACAATTTTAGGAAAGATTACTAACGTTTCCTCTTATAACAGTTTTGACAATATGTTTGGGGCTCTGATTATTAAAAAAGTTGATTATTAAAAAGTTCAACAGATTACTACACACAACTTAGTCTGTTCTTGTATATATTTTGTCTGTATGTATATATTTTGGACAATTTTTTGTATATGTACTGAGCTACCGAGGACCAACAGTCCTTATTGGGAGGAAAGGTGGATTCTAATGTGGCGGAACCCCATTTTTAACCTTAAAGAGTCAGTTTAGAGGCATGGTGTGATTTAACTTCAGGCTAGGGTTAGGAATATTCTGATAATGGTTAAAGTAAACATCAGAGTTAGGCATAAATGGCATAAATGAAACATAATGGCTTCTGTTTCCTTTTTCATTCCTTTTCTAGAGATTAAATTTAACAAATTGCAAAAAAAAAATAAAAAAAAAAAATCTTTTGGTTCTTTTCAGAGATGATTGGGGGAGGCGATGCACAGAGATCGTGGCCATTGATGCACTTCTCTTCAGGAACTTTCTCGAGCAATTTAACTGTGACAAAATCAACAGAGAACTTAATAAGGTGACTTAACTTTTATTTTTTGCTTGCCTCAATTTTTTTTATAGTTTGTTTTCTTTTTGCGACATGCAGCTTATAATAATGTCATATTCATGTGCAGAAGTTTAGAGAAAATATGGAAAACTTATATCCATGGGCTAAAACAAGCTTCAGTACTGATGAACCCTGTTTTTATTTTATCCTCATTTTGTTTTTATGAATGGATTAGATGTTTATCTAATGTGTAGTTAGTGGGTAACATTTCACAATAACTGATACATTTAAATAATAAAACGAAATTAAATTATTGTTATACGTCAGACCCAGAATGATTTAATATTAATTGAAATGGGATTGCCGATACATCAGTATAACCGTCACAGTTATCATATTCGTATAACGTTCCGTTTGTGTATTTATTTTTAAGCTTCCTGAAGGACTTATGGCCATTTGTTGTGGGAAAAAAATCAAGATGTTGATGTTGTCAGGTCTACTGTCAGAAAGCATGAAGCACTTTGACAGTTCTGACATCAGGGTGAAGAATGCACAAACGCATAGATCAATCCTGTTTCGAATATTGTTCAGTTAAATGTCACATCTGCCCTTTCCAAGAAGAATGTATCTCTGGTCAGAAGGAAGGACGGGCTCTTGCAATTTATTTTCATTTTGCATTTTACTTTCATATTAAAATAAATATTCAGTCTTGTTAATGTTTTGCTTTAGTTGCTTTTTAACCCATGAGTTATGTCACATCCAATGCCTCAGATTTGCATGCAAGTCTTTTAGATTTGTGTACATTTTCTGAAAAGCTACATTTTGAAGTTCATAACTCTAAAAGGATTGGAAGAAAGATAAATGACTCAACCTCTTGTGTTAAAATGGAGTGGAATATTATCTTAGTTTCAATGCTACTAACGAACCAAATTATATTTAGAGTACTTTATTGAATTTTATCTTTTTTAATATCAAAATTAGGCGGCTGTAAGAAATTAACCTATAAAGGAAGGTGATTTACTAACTGGTCTTACCAACAGCACTGATCATTAAATTGTGGAAAGAAGAAGGGTCATCCATTTTTTTAGTGTTCCCTCTACTGACTGTTAAAACTTGTTTTATATTACAGGCAAGAATTAAACTGTAAAAGGATAGCCCTTATTTTATCAACACAAACCACAAGAATTATACCACTGTTGTTTTTTTTTTTACCATGAATTTTCTTTCAACCCATTAATAAATGTACTCAGATTAAAGGGTCACAGATTTTTTCTCTGTTAAATCTTGCTGCAGGGAAGGATTCATTTATTTTAAGGATTGTTTCATATCTTTATCAGAGGGACCCGTAGTTTGGTGGTAATATTTGAACACTGGATTAGTGATTCGATTTCCTTTTTGTTTTTTCCCTTTATTTACATTTTTACTTAGTTTTATTTAGCTTTATTTTAAAAGAAGTGCTTGATAACTTAATAAAATTCCTTTATATGGAACCATTTGATAAATATGTTTGACTTATAATAGTCCAAAGAGTGCTGGTAGTTCTTTCTACGGTATCGATACGGACCGTCGGATGCTCCAGCTACTGCCTGATCGATTCTCTTGGTTCCTTTCATACATTCAGATATGGCAGTTCCTGTTACATAATATTATAATAATCATGCTCACTGTTGGCGTACATTTACCAAACCAAAATCAAATTCAAACTATTCTTTCTGGCCATCTCAATGTTTTTATATATAAATTATTCAACTCTTTAAATTATGTGTTAAATCTTTACTACATGCTTTAAATGCGTCTCAAATTTACATAAGAAAAAGTTCAGTAGGTTGAGTAATAGTCATTTATGTGTGACCAGCACCAGCACTTATTAATTGTCTTACACCATTATTTTTTTTTCCTACCCTTTAGGCTTACTGTGGCTTTTCTCAGCCTGAAAAGGAAAGTCAAAACCTCGCTGCAGTGGCCACAGGAAACTGGGGCTGTGGTGTTTTTGGAGGTGACACACGTCTCAAAGGTGAGGCTTGCGTATCTCTTGCGTAACCTTGACGTCAGTGGATTTTGACTAGACAAGTGCTCAGATCATCATTCTAATTGGATTCTCTTTCCTGGATGTAGCAGAATAAATTTCACTTTAAAAAGCGCTCCAGTGCAGGCATCCATTTGTCTTCTGGGAATGCGTGCTTTCACTTAAGGCATATTTTTTCTCCTTCCTCCTATTGATCAAACGCCAAAGTTAATATGTTGCATTAATAGTGAAATTGATCGCCTGCTTGAGCCCATCAATCAGCTCCAGCCTTCTGTGTGTGCCTATTCACATCACCACTCAGGTAGTTTCAAAAGGAATAGCTTTGCTTTTCACTACCTTTGTGGATTTCACCCTTTATCTACATCATGCGTCATACATACTGTTGCATCTCAATAAACAATATAATTAAAAAGTTTTTTTAATTCAGTGATCTAATGCAAAAGGTGAAACACTTATAGACATTTATTTTAATCAGTGATGTATTTGAAGTGTTTATTTCTGCAATTTTTTTATATTTAGCTTTCATAAACTATTATATCCACGCTAATTAATGGAAAATATAGTGGAAAGAAAAACTAGAAGTAAAAGATGTACAAGTAACATAGATGGTCACATTGTTGAGAGATTTGTGCAAAAAAGTAGGAAGAAGTATAGACTAGGTCTGAAAAATCTTTAAAAAAAACAAAAAAAAAACAAGTCTGGTAAGGCTGGTGGAAATTACAATATGATTGGTTATAAATTACAAAACAGACAGTGCTACTATTTACGATGAAGGTTAATCCTATTGTTGTAGTTTAAACAACTCCAATATTGCAGGGTTGGACGTTTCTTCTGGATGGTGTTTTTTTCCGGGATGTTTCCATGTTATTTTCTATTCGGAAGAAACGGTTTGTTCCAGTTTCTTCCAGAAGAGACTTAAAAGGTCAAATTAACTGGAAAGTTTTGTTTCTTTTGGTGAATATTTTGTCTTAAGCAGGCCCAAATCCATTAATAACCATGAGGTGGGGTTTAATGTCTATAAACCAGGGTACCAGGGTGCTATACTGTAGCCGTTCTGTATGCGTAAATGCACCGTTTCAACACAGTCGTTACTTTGCAAGTTATATAAATTCTTAATTTGTGTCACTGTGTGTATAAGATTTCTCCTTATGTAGCCTGGTGGCTATGGTGAGTTAACTTTTCAGTGGAACTAACAGAGTTCTTCAAAATATAATATATTACAAGGACTTCCTTCTGGAAGAAATTGAAAAAGAAATATGAAAAAAAAAATTTCTCCAGTTTCTTCCACTTGTCTGGGAAAAAAAAAAAAGGTCAGCCCTGTCATGCAGTCATATAGCAGTATTTGGCTGGATTCAGTGCTTCTAGATCCAGCTCTCCTACCCAGAATTCAGACTATAACTGGTTCATTTGGTTTGTTAGGAGCTGAAGCATCTCACCTGGAACTCTATTACACTTTGGGTGCTATTCTAACTTGTACCTATTAGGGATGGAACGGTTTACGAAAACCGTCCGAACCGTTTACGAAAACCGTCCGA